ATGAACCATTTTAAGTACACAGTTTTTCTAATAATTACGATACACTGATTGACAGAAAATTGTTGAACAATGCACAATAAATTATATATTACAAAAACAGCACAGTAACCCTTTTTGATAAAATATACAAATTAATTACTTAAAAATCAGAAAAAAACCAAAATTTGTATATTCAAAAAACACCAGAACCATTTAAAAAATCAGCTCTGCTTCTCAAAATGGCCATCATATATCCCTTATTAGCAGAACACATAATGAACACGAATTAAATTACAGAGCTATCGAAAAGGAATTACTCGCCATAGTTTGGGCCACTAAAACTTTTCGACATTATTTACTAGGACGACATTTTACCATTGCTAGTGACCATCAACCTCTAAGATGGTTGCATACCTTAAAAGAACCGAATGCCAAGTTACAAAGATGGAGGGCTAATGCTAAATGCATTATCAAGAATTAAAATTGAAAAAAATCATCACAATGAAGTTACTCAACATAGAGCAGAAGAATACAATGGTAACCTTATTCATTTAACAGAAAAACAAATAATCTAATTCAAGATACAAATCATTTTCATTAAATCCGATAAAAATAAAATAGAGAATTCAACAATATTCGGGTCCTCCATTACCACAATTCAATATAATGTAATGACATTCGAAAAGGTCAAACAGATTTTACTTGATCATTATACCCGTTACTCGTAGAGTAAAAGGGTATACTAGATTCGTCGGAAAGTATGTAACAGGCAGAAGGAAGCGTTTCCGACCCCATAAAGTATATATATTCTTGATCAGGATCACTAGCCGAGTCGAACACTATAAAGAACTACAGTCTTCTCTTTTCAACCATACAAATACGTATTACAAATCAAACAATACAGATCAAAACAATATATACAATTATGGTCGACTCCAAGCCGACCTATTCATCCCACGTCATACCTTTACAAAAATTGTACGTCTTCGGTTAGGACACACCAACCTAACCCATAGCTACCTTTTTACGCGCCCTCCCACAAGACCCTCTTGCCCCTTATGCAACAACGAAATAAGAACTCCTCAACACATCCTAATAGAATGTTCCTATCTGGATTCCATAAGATCGTCTCTCTTCACTTCCACAAACCCCTTACAATCCATATTTAACCCCACCGCACCACAAATAAAAAAAATAATAAAATTCCTTAGCTTTAACAATATAATTAATGAAATTTAATAAGCTTGTAAACGTATAGATAAATGAAGTTATGAAATGAATATTGAAATTTGTTATCTAGTTTTTAAGCTTAAGGCCACGTAGCTATAGCTTATTTTAAGTTCGCCTGTAAATTTTACATTATAGTCGAATATTTTATAATAATAATAATAATAAAACCGCAATGGATGAAAAACTTGGCAAAAAAAAATACAATGCAATATAAAACCGTTGGACTTACTACATTTTTTTTTATCGGTAAAAATTGCTAACTTTTGTTTTCGGTCACTTGATTTATTTTATTTTGTTGTAAACAATTATTACGAAAAATATACCACACATTATTTATGTATTTTTTCTTATTTATTAAAACATTTATTTATTTTGCAGTTGCGGAAAAAAAATAACACTTTTCCAGGATCTGAAAATGGGAGATGTTTGAGAATTTTATTTAAATAAGTACACAAAAGTAAGAATTGTTGTTAAATGTTATTAATATTAATTTTTATCGAATTTTAACCACAAATATAAGTTTTAAAAACAAACATCTCTTATTTTTGTCTTCAGAAACTTTTCACTCAATAAGATTTTTAAATTCTTTCACAGATTTGTTCATTGGTTTATTATATGCACCATTTGTTGCTTTTCATATTTTCATATTTCATATTTTAAATATAGATTATCTTGTTTTTTACTCTCACTGTTTTCAAAATTATTGGTTTGCGACAGACTTACCTGGGAATCGTTTCTCTTTCTCTTTTAAGCCACTGATTTATTAATAAAACAAAGTTAATTGCTGGTAGTTTTGCTTGAACTTCTAACTCCTTCACTTAAGTAAACGCAAGTGAAAAAGGCAAAAAAAGGCGCGTGCCTTCCAGAAAAACAACAAGCACCACTGCTCTAAACTTTAGAGTCTAAAGCGATGGCTTGAAGCAGAAGAAATTTAATTACAACTCAATACGGCAAAAAAGGGAGCAGCAGACGTCGAAAGACAATAAATTAAAAAATCCGAATAATCAATTCATCCGATGATAAAGAAGTAAAATTAAGCAAGATAGAAACAATCCTTTACACATAGAGCCATAAAATTAAACATGACACCACTGGACAAACACCTGCTCAGATATTCTTATACGCTGGGCATTTAATATAAGACAATTAAAATATTAAAGAAATGAAAATAGATAAATTAAATAAACATCGACAAGAATTTAACATTGACACTACAGAAAAGGACCAATTCAAAAGGGAAAATTAGAAAAACCAATTAAAGCAAATAAAAATGTAGACGAAGACCATTACAAAATTAATAATCGAAATAGGAAAACCAAATACTACAAAACACAATTTAAGAAACAAAAGATAACTAATGTCGTTAAACTCCCAAAGGAACCTTCTGTACAATGATGTTGTTTCTATTATTCACCACGGGCCACACTCAACAAATTCAAATAACCAACCCAGACTCCGACCTTGGCTATTTACTCTTCTCAAGCATCCCAATTCAAATACCGGTAGTATATGAACATCACTGTGTAAGAATTAATTTAACGGAAATCAATATCATCACTAAATCGCCCAGAACGAAATATTTGTAAAACTAGTCATCACCAAACAAGGCAGAAACGTGGCCTATTTAACATAATAATAAAATAACACTTGATGAAAATGATAGAGTAAAAACTAACAAAAAAATAGATCTAATTGCAGAAAATGCAATTCAACTTCATAAATTAAATGACTATAAGGTTTGTGAATGAGGGACTGCAGAAACTTACTAACTACGAAAATAACCGCAAAAGTATTGACACACTTGTTTATGAACTCATGCAATTTATTGAGTACTTTGAAGACATAGAAATGGGCATGCAACTTTCCCAAAAGATACTAAATTACGATAAACTAGAAAGCATTGACAGTCAAAATATACTTTTAATCAAAACATAAACTTGGATTGACCACAAAAATAACGAATTACTACTTATTTCACATATCCCCATTAATCACAAAATCATTAACACCATTAAAATAAGTCCTTATTCCGACCGTAATGGGTATCAGTTAGACTATTCAGATCAAGAATAATATTTTGAAGATGAGAATAAAAGTTATAATAAGGACAATAAAGAAGTTAATAATGAATGTATTAAAAATCACTGTGGACGGCAGTACACGTAGTGGCGAAGCGCGCGAGAGAGCGTGCGAAGACAACTACTATATATGTATAGCCGCAGGATTGAAAATCTGCCATTATGGTCCGATCGTAACGAGTGATACACCAATCGAAAGGTATCGCACTAACTCAATCAAGACTTTCGAAATATAAATTTGTTTGGGAGAAAAAGCGGTGAAAGTGTAAAAGTAAAAGTTTAGAAAATTGGACCTGCTGGATACGGTGGGAATAAAAGCCGCCGGCTGTTTAGCTAGTTTTATTCTTACTGAGAATACGCGTCGAATGACACATTTGTTGAAATCCGATGTCCCGTTCAAAAGTAATTCAAAAAACAAGATTTTCTTCTTCCCAAAATGAAAATGTTTGTCCCTTTGTTTATGGGTTGTATGCATTCCATCTTAGTTTTAGGGTTGTGGAAACCCTATCAGTGTATAAAGTAGCTTGAATTAGAAAACGTTTGTTCTACGACCTTTGGAAATACCCGCTGGTTTTGCGGGAAACCAAAAAAAAAAATCCTGATTTAATTATAGTATCTAAACAACTAATGCTACAGAAACGTGCTATATATCTCTGAAAAGATAATTTAATTTGCTAAATACCCTTCATATTGTAAAATTGTCTGAATATATTAGATTTCGAGTTATGACAAAAAGTTATTTTTTAAAACCACTTTTTGACTATTTTCTCAAAATAGAGTCGAACGATTTCTTTTAAAATTTCAAATCATATAGCCCTTGAGATTCCTCAACTTTTGATCTGTAACACTTTTTGCCCTAAAAATTACCGTTTGGAAGATATTAAGCGATAAAAAGTACAACTCGTTTCAGCTAAATAAACTATATTAAATTTATGTATTCGGCACGCTACAACAGAAAATTTACGTGTAGGTAAATAAATATTTACTGTTGCGGGCCGAATTCATAAATTTAATATAGTTTATTTATTTTATCGAATGTAATATCATTTTTCGTCACAATTGTTGATATCAGAAATGTTTTGTTATGTACCAAGAAATATGAATATGAATGTAAACAATCCACATCCGGAGCAGGCGATGCCGCTCTTCAAAAACATAAACGATTCTTGCAATCACTAAGTGTCGCACCCTGAGTGGCACTCTTACTCTCAAATTATTGTATACAATCAATATCCCAAGCGGCGGTTTCGCTCCCAAACTTACATATGCACAATGAATATCCCAATCGCTCCCAAACTTTTGTAATAAAGGGCAGCACAAGAAAGATTTTTGTCACAAGAAATTAGTCTTAAGCTAAGATCAATCGAATAAATCCGTGAAACTAAATCTTCGTTAATTTATTCTCCTTAGCGTTGTCTCTAGTCAACTGACGGGACATTAGTTCGACTCATTCAAATAATAAACATTTTACTATATATATACTTTATGGGGTCGGAAACGCTACTTTCTTACGAATCTAGTATAAATGTTTACTTATTTTTCGACCCCACCTTGACATTGACTCCAAAAGAATTACTTCTGGATGTACATGAACACTTAACAAAAGTACCGATTTTTTCTAAAAACCAGGTAGGTATTAAAATAAACCATTCTGAAGTCAAATTCTTGGTTGTTATCGTAAATAGTTGAAAGACAATTCCTTGGCTTACTCACCTGCGATGGCGGAGCGGCCACCACGTAGGTGTCTTCATCGATGGCCTTATGGATCGTGGCCCTCAGATCAGCCACTTCTCTCAGATTCTGCGGTGTGATCACTACCTTGCCCTGAAAGCTGGTCGGCAAAGGGGGTCCCATCAAGTGCTTAGGCGTCACTATTTGACGCCGCCACCTTATCACAGGTGCGGCATACACCGAAACGAAGAGCCACAATATAGTCAACTTCCAGCGCATGGTGTTGACCATTAAATGAAAACTGAAACTCTGGAGATCTTGCAAGCCATGGAATACACGGGGTCAGCACTTTTCGGCTGACCTTGTGTTGATTTCACGAGAAATGTGGATTTCGAGTACAATTTATTTTTTGTTGGCAGTGAACACGCAAAACCGTGTTCCGTAAGACTTTTTACATAGATATTCTCTCGCCCAAGGCCTGGGTTGCTGAACGCAAAACATAAAAGTCTGTAGTTAGCTTAATGAAATTAACAAATACAACTAAAGTATGGGTGCGATCTAAGGATTGGCCACTTCAGCAAGCAAGTCCTGCGGCTCATCCTTGATATGTACATCATCGTCCTCCTGGTCTTCCTTGCTGTTCTCGTGCAGCAGCACATATTCGCGGGAACTAAAGCCGAACTTGATCACGTCCTTCTCCATTAGCTCATAGTACTTTCTGCCATCAATCTTTTTGTTGTTTAGAAACGTGCCGTTGGCTGACTCTAGATCGATGAGGTATAGCCGCACGCGTTTCCCATGGCTGCCATCCTCCCGCTCGAATGGGACCAGTCGGTACTGCAGGGCGGCATGTTGTTTGGAGCAACTGGGATGATCCACTGCTAGGTCGACCACTTTGCGGTCGCGCCCAACCAGGAAGCAACTCTGTCGATGAATGTGCAGAGTGGGCAACGCCGTTTCACCCTTGAACGGGTATAATCTCCAGCGGCGCTTGGGCTTGCGGGCCTCCGGGGGCTCTGAGTATTTAACCACCACGCCATTCACCTTGTTGGCGTCTTCGGTGAGTGCTCCACTTAGACCGAAGTTGGGCTTCTCCTTGTCCACTGGCTCCTCTCCTTCCGGCGGTGCCTTATCGTCACCTGCCTTGCCCCAGTTATACTGCTCGTCCTCATTCCTGTTACGGTTGTCGCGACGCTGATTTCGATGTCGTCCTTGGCCGAAGTTTGGCCCAACGCGATGAGAATGATCGCGGGGACTTCTACTTTGGCTGAATACAGAAAATAAATATTAATTACTTAACCCATTAAGTTATACCTAACTAATACATATCTGTGAATATGATAAGTCAAACTAAGCTTGAAAGTCTTATATTTTCAGGGTTATTGAAGCTAAAATGGTAATCATTTAAAACGCATATTCGAATATTTGGTAATAGATCCGCAGAAATTGTTCTGCGGAAATGCGTGGTTTCTTGCACTTCAATTTCAAAGATGCCTGTTGTACTATAAAAACAAAAAACCAACATATTTCCAACAGTACCTTGTAGGGTATCGTAAAAACATTTTGTAGAATATGAACATTTAATTTTTTTTGGTATTTCTTGACATTGTATCGTTATTTGTTTCTTTTCTATAGACGATAATTAAAAACCAATATTTTTCGTTAATTTTTTTTAACTAGAAATTGAACAGCTTCATTTGTTTAATTTAAGAATTTTAAACATTTTGGTATGTGTACAGTTAAACTTGTATTCCTATATTGTACATTTTCAACTTTTCTTGAAGAAAAAATAAATAATTTTCATAGAGTTTTAGTATGATTTTATCAGTTTGCTATTTTACCATACATCTTTTAAAAGTGAACAAAAAAATGCTCTACGCCAAGAGATGTTGGCTTTAACTCCACTAGAATTTTACCATCGAAGATGTTAGAAACTTTCTGCTTTTTAACTTTTGAAACAAATTTATTTTTGGAAAAGCGACATTCAAAAAACGAATCTTTCGTCTTTATACCCTACTCTACCTTATCTTTTTGTTTTTTATTTTGTGGAGTTATGATTTCAATGATAATGGACAACTGCAGTGAGTCCTTCCTACCGCGGAAAAACATTAAGTCCTAGGCTCTTAAGAAATCGCGGTCCATCGAGTGTAATTTTTCACGATTTTTGGGCACAGGACCTTGTTCTAGAATACTACCCAATATTTTTAAAGGAAGAACGCTATAGGTCAGTACCTCGACTATCAGATACCCGTTACTCAGTTAAAGGGACAAAAGGGCTGTGGAGATATTCAAGCAGCGATCTCAATATATGGCTATGTGGGCGGCAGGCAGATTTAAGCGTTATGGGCGTTAGAGTGGGCGTGGCAAACTTTTGTTGGGTCAATGAATAGGTATTGAGGAGACTAATACATTTCAGTTAGCATTTTAATACCCGTTACTCGTAGAGTAAAAGGGTATACCAGTTTTGTAAGAAAGTATGTAACTGGTAGAAGGAAGCGTTTTCGACCCCATAAATTCTTGAGATTCCTGCGCAGCGCAAGTTTGTTTCGTCCGTGTGCGACGTCCACTCTTACGCCCACAAGCCGCCCAAAACGGTGGCTCCTACAGTTTTAATTGTAGAATAAACATTTTAACTTCATTGTATTGTTCTCATCAATACCTATCGATTGTCCCATTAGATTAGAGTGGGCGTGGCGACGAAACAAACTTTAGCTACGCAGGAATCTCTAGAATCTACATGCATAATCCCAGTGTTCATACGGACAAACGAACAGACGGACGGACGGGTATAATAAATGTGTATAAAAATGTAAAACAAAATAGCTTATTTGCTGTGCTTGTTCCTATGCAAACTGGGCTCATCGTTTTAAAGCTATCGGGATTAAAATATCGCCAGTCTTCTCTCTAGTCCAGGTAGTATGCTGAAACGAGCCGGATCGGACGACTATATTTCTTAGCTTTCATAGGAATGATTGGACAAATAGAAAGAAAATTCTAGTTTCGTTGTTTTTGATCATTTATATACTCTTCTACTCTGGGGTACACCTTTTTTTCACAATTGCAGAATTTCGAATAAAATTGTTTTTAAATCGATCGACATCATAAAGCTGCCATAAAAACTATAGCAAAAATAGTGAAAAAAAATATCAATAAAATTAAAGATTCATTCTCATCTACTCTCGGGTATTGCACTATTTAAGAATTTCGATTTTTAAATGTAAAAATCGGAGTTAGTTTCTTTTGGCTTAGGTAATTTTTAACTTTTTTTATTGTCTGACCGAAGTTTATGTATTAATCTTGTCTGACCTACCGAACTGGCCTCCTTTCTGGCGACCTCCGTTGGCGATCCTTGCATTCGCTGCTCCGAGACAGCTGCCGATGTCCTGGGGATCGCTTGCTGCGCTCCCGGTCTCTTCCGCTGCGGTGCATGTGACTATCTCGCTCTTGATCGCGGTTCCGATCGCGATCTCTGTCCCGCTCACGTTCCCTCTCGCGCTCGCCACGATCCCTGGAGCGGCTTCGGCTGTGCCTCCGCTGCCTTATGCTGTTTCGATGGGAGCTGCTGCGTTCGGGACTGTCCCACTTGGAGCGCTGCTCTTGCATCTCCTCCGAGAGTTTTGCGGGTTGTTTGGAGTGCTTCCCCGGGGCCTCAGGGGATTCCCTGGCTTTCCTGACGGGCCTCTGTTTCTTTCTATCTGGCGAGAAGCTGTTGCGATTCGATTTCTTGCTTCCGGAAGAGGAATCCGATGAACGGGAGGAATGGCGGTCCCGCATTCGCTTGGCTTTCTTGGTTTTGGTTGAGTTGCGATCGTTCATTTTGGTGACCACCTCATCGCCGGATAAATGTGGTTCCTGGTCGCGACCTCGCTCCCGACTGCGTCGTTTGCCCATATAAGGTGTGTAAGCTTCCCGATATCAAAGGAAAAATAAATTGCTAAAAAGTGCCTCCTTTTTTTATATCGTCTTGTCAGCTGTTGGAGGCAGTGTGACCAAAGGGAAAATAAAAATTCGTAATGGTATTCAGCGTGTCCGCACCAACAAAGATGGGAAAACAAACAAGTATTAAAAAATACCACTTTAGTTTCAAAACTTACCACTTAAATACCATTCATCTAATAGCCTATGCACACAGCCTCTTAAAATCGCTATTGGAATTTTAAGCTGATTCTTGCTCACACAACAATCGCTGAAGCGAACAGCTGATCTGCATAAGCAAACCGTGTCCAAAGTGAGAGGACGTGCAAATTCAGTTAAACCGAAAAAAATGGGAGGGAACGAGAAAATTAAATTCAATTGAAACGCTAGCATAAAGAATGTTTTGTTTAGTTTAGTTTTGTATTATATCCCAGTGCTGCAAGACTAATCTTATTATTTTCGCACTGGTCACAATGGAGTTGAGTTTACAATATATAGGGTTTTTGGTAAAGAGTAACGAATAATTTTTTACACATAATTTTAGTTTATAATTCTTATAACTAACAATTTTATATATTTGAATTCGTTGAATCTTAAAATTATTATTATAATTTGAAAGTGCTTTTATACTTTTAGTTTGGTTTTCGGCGCCAAATTATAATGTTATCTTATCTATTAGCAAATTGAACAAGGATAAGATTTCCATTTAGGCAAGCGTAGTGCAAAGTGAATTGGGACTATTGGGGTTCAACAGTGACGCCACGAGAGTTTTCACTAGAACGTGACATACTTTACTGTCAATAGTTGAGAGTAAAATTTCGCATAAAACAGTCCGACACAGTGCGTTAAATTCAGATTGAGGATTAACTGGGAAGTTTTCAGAAAAGCAATTCCTAATAGACCTTCCATTGAAAAGTGACGAATGGACCTCTATGAGAAGGAGCTGTAACAATCGCATAAAAAAATACGTCGAATTCTATGAAATTTGGATGGCGGTCTACTTGGACATTTACGGAACGCCCAAGCCTTGTAGACATTTCGTTGAATGGGAAGTGGTTAGTGAGCGGATCTCTATGGGAAAAGGCTATTAGCGCGCATATGGGCACATCCCCTGCAAGTATTTCCTATTGCGGATGGCACTATTTAGCGACTTCTAGAGGATGAAATATTATGTTTTACTTATTTTTCAATTTTTTCATTTATTTTTCTTATAAGGACTTTGTCCGCTTGTACGACACGGTAGCGGGCATGTAGGAAATGCTGCTGAACAGTGCTGAGTCGCACTCCGTTGACATGAGAACTTTACTAAAAAGCCATTTCTAAAAGATACAGAGACAAAAATTGTATTTTTCTAAGATACAAAAAAATTAACTTGAAGGCACAACCTTTTATAATCAAGTAAGAATATTTGGATGCTGGGTTTCTCCACGCTTATACTCCACTTATACCTTCAAAGCTAGCTCAAAAAAAATATACATCTTCATGCTAGGCACGTCATTTCGCACCCTTCGTTGAGATGGACATTTTAATATGTTATACTTAAAGACATTTAGAAAATAATGCAATATTTTGTAAACAAACAAATTTGTTACAAAACCGCACTGAACACAGACAAATCGCTAAACAAAATGAAGGTTGGGCGAAAAATAATAGCGTGCGTCAAAAGGGAGACCAAAGAATTTTCAGAAATTTCTATCGCGTGATTGTTTTTATACCCGTTACTCGTAGAGTAAAAGGGTATACTAGATTCGTCTGACATTATGTAACAGGCAGAAGGAAGCGTTTCCGGCCCCATAAAATATATATTTTCTTGATCAGGATCACTAGCCGAGGCGATCTAGCCATGTCCGTCTGTCCGTATGAACGCTGAGATCTCGGAAACTATAAAAGCTACAATACTGGGATTAGGCATGCAGAGTCCTGAGATTCCTGCGCAGTGCAAGTTTGTTTCAGCAATGTGCCAATGTGCCACAAGCCACCCAAAACTGTGGCGCCCACAATTTTCATGCTAGATACAAAATTTTAACTGAAATGTATTAGTCTCGTCAATACCTATTGATTGATCCAAAAAAAGAGATTGCCGCGCCTACTCCAACGCCCACAAGCCGATCAAACCTTTGGCGCCCGCAATTTTCATGCTAGATACAAAATTTTAAATGAAATGTATTGGTCTCGTCAATACCTATCGATTGGTTTCTGAAAGTCTATCTTCTTTTCAAGTTCTAGTAGTCATTTGGAAGACAGTTTTTTCCCAATAATTGTGTTTTTTGTAAAATGTGTTCTATCGTCTTTTTATCGCCTAGAAGTATCTCAGAAGATACTTCTTCACGATCCCGACCCTTTTTTATAGCTGGTATAACCGTATTTCTATCGCCCAGAAGAGTCTCAGAAGTTACTTCTTCGCGATCCCAACCCTTCTTGTTATTGTAAATTTGTATTTTATCGTCCAGAAGTGACTAAGAAGTGACTTCTACGCGATATATGTATATATGGTATTTGTAAACTGTGCTCTATCGTGTTTCTATCTTCCAGAAGTAACTAAGATGTGACTTCTGAACGAGACAGCAATACGTTTATCCAATGGCATGGTTGGACGAAACAATGTATCCCTTTTAATAGGTCTGGTGCCACCCACCAACTGCTAAAATGATTTCTTGTCAACGCGGAAGGATTGCTTGAAGAACACATCCGAATTTTGTTGCGCTTCAGTCTCCAATAGAATCAATTTGTTTCTATCATATATAAATGGGAATTAGATAATAACAGTAATTGGCCGCGTTCAGCAGAACAACATTATACCTCATCACTGATATAATGCATACGATAGTTCTGCTGAACGCACATGATTACTAATCATGATTGAAAAATGGTTGTATGATTAGTAAGTAATGTATCATGTATCAAGAAAAGGAAGCGTACTATTTTTACGCCTCTTTCTTTCTAGTAATGCAACAATTTTTGCATCACGATTAATAAGAAAGGATCGTAAAAATAGTGAGCTACCTTTTCTTGATACATGATACATTGCTGCTGGGGTGTATCGATGAGTGAAATATCTATAAGAATTAACCAAACTGTTATTAAAAAATCATGAAACCAGTTATTTCTTTACGACTGTTTAGCATTAATTGCTTTGACATGTCCACGATTGCAGTGCGCAATGCTGCAGTTGCGGTGGCAACGACATCTTTTTTATGAAGGCAATTTTGATTTTAAAAAATATTTGAATTTAAATTGCATCGTCGTTATGTGTCATGAGCGTTCAGCAAAACAAACTTGAACCCAGCCATTGTCTGTTTTATAACTGTATGATGTGCAAAACTGTTATGTGATGTAATTGATCAATAGCATATTACGCTATATTACGCTGCCTATCTAAAAATCCGAAAAATACCAAGAATTTCGCGTAGTGGAAATTGGTCTTAATTTTAACGTAAAAAATACTACTTTATTAATTAGTAGGTATTTGGCAGTCAACGATTTGTCGTCTATACTGGCCGAGCCTGGTCACACGGGAAGCCGTGCGAAAATCGAGTAATGTTCAGAGGCCATGCCATGATAATTATATTATAATCCTTCGGACGACAATGCTGTTCTGCGGCTTGCAGCGTCGTTCGTAATAAGCAGCTGCTAAGTTGCAGTTGCCAATCGTGCAACAAAGTGCAAGCGCGCAACCCCGTTGCAGAATCCAGAACCTGGATAGCCACGATGACACCCTTCGATGACTTTATCTATCTGATCAATCATGTGCTTTTGGGCGAAGAGCCGGTAAGTGGGCTCCATGCCTCCGATCACCAGCAGACATTAACTTTAAACCTTGTGCAGACAATCGAAGACTTCATATTGCTGGTGGGCACCCTGGTGGCGTTTATAGCCTTCATCCTGTGGTGCTGCTTCCCCATACAGCCAAAGGTAAGTTCCTTCTGCACTATAGAGTTGTAGTAAACCCAAGCTATTTAATATGTCCAGCAGGAGCCTGGTCCCCATCGCCAGTTTACGTGCAAGATCATACAGAATCCCATCAAGGCCTTCGACGCCGCCACCAGCACCGACGACGCACCTAAACCAGGAGGTGGGTCCGGAACTGGTAGCTCCACGTCCAACATGCAGTACAATAGCAGCAGTGGCAGCGGAAGCTACAGCAAGAACGGCACAGTGGCCATGCACAATTACTACGTTAAAAACGGACACCATTGCTGCACCTAATAATTGGTTATCCGCACTAGCGACACTGTCCATGTCCAAAGTTGGACAGGATGTTATGTTGCACAAACGCCGCCCTTAGTAACCATATGCAGAGCACACCTATCCGTATGCGGAGGCATATAGATTGAGATTTGTGCCAATTGGTTCGACAGGTTGTTAGGAGGCAGCTAAAAGCTGTCAGTTTGCAGTCACAGGCACATTTGAATTGTAATTGATCAGACTGATTTGTTTATGGAACATGAGAAGATTGAAGGTGGAACAGGTAGCAAGGTCAAGGCCGCACACTCATTCGCAGCAGCCCCTGGCAAGTTTATAAAACTTCCTTGATATCTATTATATATTGTGTGTGCATTTGTTGGCATACCACATGTAGCATGCGTAGTTGTGTAAACGAAAAAACCATTTAAAAGCCAAGCGACTAATTGTAAGTATTTATTTGTGTAAACGATTCGCTTACCCCCTGAGGAACTCCAAGCACTTGCCAACACATTGTGTGCAAACAAAAGACAAAAACCCTTGAAATAACTATTAATTATGTTCAATCGGGTAAAGGATTAAAGTCTCCGATCATATTTACCTTTATAAATTTATAAATATATATTTAAGGAACATTATTTATATACCGAGATACAGACCAATTAGTTAGCATAGGTCTTTTCTGTATTATCGCTTTTGATTTTATTTATTTGATGTGTATTAGTCTATTTGATCTCATTTAAAGATATTATTTGTGATGTAACTTCAAGATAAATCCAATATTTCTCAAATGCAAATGAAACTACATTTAAAGACAACCCGCCACACGAGCGTTACTGTTTTATTATACCCTAAAAAAGGTATTATTATTTTGGTCAGTAGTATAGAAGCTGCTAAGGAGAAATTTCCGAGCCCAAAAATAATAAGAAATGAAAGGCAAGTTTGGTAACATTTGTCTTAATGTGTATTTATAAATTAATAACAATGGCAATAAGGGTATTTAACAACGTTAACAAATGCTTCTTCGCTAAGCATACATGAAAGAGTAGAATATCAAGAAAAGATTGTGTGTATGAGTTTGCGAATTTTTCATTGCGTTTTCGGGCCTGGGCAGTATTGGCGAATGTTGTACGTTCATTTATATGTGAATTTATCCTCTTAACTGCTAGTATCTCGTTTTGGGCTTTGGTAACGGTTAAAACATTTGTGGATGGAAGTACATGCTATGGGACATACACAGAATCACATTAACAATATGTGTATAACGCGAAATAAACAGAAATCGCTGCTGAAAGCTTTGTCGTCTAAACCTAAAGACAGTCTTAGGCAATAATCAACGCGTAAACTAGTGTACAAAAATACTGGGTATGCACTGTCCGATTTTTGGTTGAAAATTAAAATGATAATTACAAAATACATTAAGTTATAGTTATCGTCTCAATTTAATCAAACTTTACCAGATCTAGTATAACCCAAAAATAGTTAAAAACGAATGCAGACCTGTAATTGGGTTGATGGGGTAATAGCCTTGTGGTGCCAGCACCAAAATGATTTTTTAAGTGTGGATTTTTCCCATCTCTGGGTTTCCAGATCCAGTTCCATTACTAGCTACTGCAATCTCTGGGAAAGAAGACATTCATCTCGATGAGGATCTGCAGAACGATAAAAACCCCATAGACAGTGAAGAGGGCCACTCCCACCCGCTTGGTAAGGCGATAGCCACTGAAGCTGAGGATTACGAAAAGTGCCACCGTGGAGATGATCAGGATCAGAATATTGTACTCTATGCCCTGGGTGCCAACCTGCTGGGGCTCCCCAGTTCCGTAGTGGATACAGTTCTTGATGAACCACGGCACTCCCAGGGACAACAAGATGGCCAGCGAATTGGCACCCAAGGAATTTGAAACTCCAATGCCATTTTCACCTGAAATAAAGAGAATATATCACGAGTTAAAAATAATTAATCACAAATATGTTTATGAGTATACATTGAAAGAATTGTAACAGTTATCACAAGGAACCGATTTAAAAAGCTTTTTTTAAGTCCTTTAAACTAAAATGTGAAGCTGCAGAATTAGAAATATCTAAGGACGGACAAATATTTTTCTTGCAATAATCCTTAGTAATAAAGGAAAGGAAATAATTAATAAGAGTTCCTAACGACATATATATACATATCTCTCAACGAATAAAAGTTATCCTAAGACTTATTTTACCTTTAAGAGAATAATAGTATTCTAAGGACTGACTGATCATTCGAAATATGTACTTCTAAAATATAATTCAGCCAGGGACTTTTAGTTTGTGATTGACAGTAATGTAACTGCCGTATCGTATTATTAAACTTCGATTTGATTATAAATTAAGCCATCCTCTTCTCTTTAACATTGAAAATTTGAAATATTGAAGCAAATACATCGCATTAATCTCCGCAACAGGATCGCGGAGCTATATGATTTTTTTTGATTAGTTGTCCGTTGAAAAACAATTTTATTCAAAATTCTAAAATCGTAAAAAGATCTGTAACCCAGAGTGGAAGTTAACTTCGGCAAGTCGAAGTTTATATACCCTTGCAGTTATAAGAAATAGTCAATGCTAGTCATACGGACACCGAAGGTCCCTCTCTTGGCTGAAGGTCATCACACACATCTCCTCCATATGATGGCATTAAGGTAATATTTATACCTAAAGCGGGCAAACCCTCCCAAAAGACTTCAGTCCAATAAGTTCCTCCGCTTTCTTGTTAAAGTCACTAGAAAGTCTAAGATACCCACATCAGGCTAATTTCAAATTCAAAACTACTGTACAAAGCACGACAGATACCGCCCTCTACTCCTTAGTATAATGTATAGAGAGGGGTTTCCACAATAGGGAGTACTTTCTGGCAGCTTTCCTAGACATAGAAGGCGCTTTCAACGACGTCACTCCAACACCTATCACTGGAGCACTAACTGACCTTGACATAGCGGCTCCACTAGGGCTCCGCACAAACGACTAGGACTGTTAATAGAAGAACACCGTAAGGAGGTGCACTCTCCCCCTTTTATGAGTAATAGTAGTAAACATACTCCAATTACTTGCAGAGGAGGCGGGAAAAAAAGAGGCGAATAACCCCAAACCTAAACCGGATGGAGACAGCCCTATACACCTTCTCAAGGTGGACAACGGCCTGTGGACTGGGTGTAAGCCCAGAAAAGACCAAACTAGTCCTATTCACAAGGAAGTACAAGATACCAAGTCTAACCCTTCCAAAACTACACCAAACGGCTCTAACCCTTAGCAACAAAATTACTTGGGTACATTCTTGATAAAAAAACTACATTGGCCGAAAATATCACAGACCCCACACGCAAAGCAGCCACAGCACTATTCGCATGCAAAAAAGCAATAGGGAGAAGGTTGAGCTTGGGGTTGGTTCCCCCCGCAATACTTTATTGCCTATACATACACTGCAATAGGCCGACCAATTTTTCTATAAGGGAGCATCGTTTTTTGTGGAGAGCTCAGCAACGGTGGGGCGCTCCCGCCATTGATGCCCTCAACACGATTTTCGACCTTGAACCCCCTTTTTCGACTACCAATCCAGGAGGCCATTCCTCACCTAGATACATCAGAGCACTACGGCTCTGACATTTTCAGGCAGTCAACCCGCCCTCAGCGCCCTCGAATCTTTGAATGCCGCAAATCTCTGAGCGAGATGGCAACTAATCTCAGAATCAACATGGTTTTGGTGCCTGGACAACGTTACATTGAAAGTAACTGCATAGCAGGCGAGCTAGCAAGACAAGGGACATCCGCCGAGATCCTTCGCGATAAGGACACGGTGGTTATGCCCATGGCTACCAGTAAGCTCCTCCTCAATCAAGGATTGTACACCCTCTCCAACAACCGATGGAACACAATCTCAACATGCCACACTTCCAGGCACATTTCGACAAATTATAATCCGAAAAAAACCAAAACTTCCACAATGTAACAGGAAAGACATCTTCACTCTAATTCACTAGCCATTGTCTTTTAGGGACTCACTCAGCGTAGCTGGGAGAGAGAGGAGAACATTGAACACCTCCTATGCTTCGGGCCAGCACACAACCTCAAACGTTTTCAAACCCTACACATTTCCAAACCTCGCCGCCACACAAAGCAAACCAGTATGTTTCCTACAAAGAACTAGTTGGTTCGAGAAGACCACTGACCCATGAGCTATGGGGAATCGATAATTACATTTTCAGTGATTGTTGCTTAGCTTCAGTGATATTGAACCAACTTTTATACAGGTATGCCTCTTGAAGTTCAGCTAATGCTGTTAAAAAAGAAGAAGAAGTATGAGGGCTGATCAAAACATTTATAATCGGCTGATCAACGTATGATCATATATGGTGAAAGGCAATGAAGTTAGGACGAGTTATATAAAATGAATACCATAATAATTACAAAATGGCTTATCTCGAGTTATATAAGGATTTCTGTGGCGGATCCTGATTTGGTTGTGGGGAGAGCAAATTTATTGTTCCCTTAAGCTAAATAACGGGTATCTAATATTCAAGGCCATAGACTATCACATTTTCTCTTGTTTAATATTTCAGAATTTTCAGAATCAATTTAATAAAAATGGGACTGCTATATCATGTAGCTGCCATAGGGGGAATCGTAAAATTAATGACAAAATAATACAAAACCCGATATAGTAAACCTAGTAAATTGAAATGGAAGTATTTCTGTAATTATATTTTAATTTTCTAAAAATCGGAAAGCCCTATCTGTATATGCATGGTTCCCATAGGACCGACATGCATGGGTATATATACTTCGGCTTCCCGAAGTTAGTTTTCCTTCTAGCTAAATGTATTTTAGGAATTTAAAGTCAAATTAAAAGAAATCTTAACGAAAATGGGACATTTGTCCTTGTATAAGGTAAACACCACTCACCATTTCTTAGCGAAATAAGACTGGAGACGGCTTCTGGCATGGTGGACCCAGCCGCCAGGAAGGTCAGACCCATCACAATGGTGGGTACATGGATTGCCACACCGAAGGCAGTTAGCATCCAGACAATAAGATAGGCATTCCCACCGATGCACAGGATGCACATGATAAAGGATAATGGATACAGACGGCGGTACTTCATCGGATGCGGGATCAGCAGGGATAGTGTGAATTTAATGGGGAAGACGAAGATCCACCAAAACTGCATCCATCCGGAAACGTCCAGCGGATAAGAGTATATACTCTCAGGCATACCATCCTTCTCGTCATTCTCGCTATTCTCGCCATTCCCTGGAAATTATATATATTTTATTAAAAAAAGTAATTCAATACAGAATGAAGGATAGCACACATACAGTGCTTGGAGTGCGTGAGGTTGGCTGTGGAGGACATGGACGAGGTGTTTTCGGGAAGATTGACCACAAAGAGGCCATCGCCGGATAGTGGATCCTTCTTGAGCGGCAGCTGGGCCTTAGCACTGTTCTCTGGGGGCTCTGTTAGGTCTGAAATATACAAACTTAAGTTATAAAATCTGTATGCTAAGTACTTATACAGATAAACACACCATATCGTGTGGAGAAGCAGCAGTTCATCCGATCTTCGATAAACACGCGGATGGATGGCATAAACTTATTGTTGTTGAACGTGATGAGGTAGTAGAGCACTAGGAATCCCATCATTATGCACGACTCCGTGAAGCTAATACTGCCGCCCCAGGCCAAGACCAGCAGGATAATCGTGTTGAAGATGTAGATAAAGCAGTCGCGTGCTATTGGCCACCAGTCCAGTTGCACGGGCTGTCAATCAATTTTAAGAATAATATATCAATGCATTACGCATATTTTTTTATTGTGTTAAATAATGAAAAACCAACTTCAAACTAGGAAATATTGAGAAATCATATTTATTAATCATATTAATTTTTTTTGTAGTAAATGACTATGCCCCATAACCTCAGCTGGAAAACGTTACTGCAAATTTATGGATCGAAATAATTTTCGGAAATATAATAAACAACAACTATTTAATTTCTGAATTCATTTGTACAATTGGAGACAAAAAATGAAATAACGAGAAAAGAAACTATAGGAATCAATAAGTTTACTTACGACTTGCCGAGAACGCGCTTTAATAGCGCACAATGTATTCCTTTTGTTAAATGTATAATAGTTATACATTTTTTTTGTATAAATGATTTATTATAGCCTAATTGAAACATTTTCGGTAATTTTTAATGTGTCTGATTCCATAGGCTCATTTGTCAAGTGCATATAATGCACCGACTTGTGAGTGGTAAACCACTGGACGTGAAAGCTTTGCTCGAGCTCTGCTGCCACTCGTACAATGTAGAACAGCGGTCGGCACACACACATCAATGAGCTGCCCAGCCCAGTCGGAAGTTCAGGAACGCATTTTTATCCCGTTACTCGTAGAGTAAAAGGATATACTAGATTCGTCGGAGAGTATGTAACAGGCAAAAGGAAGCGTTTCCGACCCCATAAAGTAGATATATTCTTGTTCAGGGTCACTAGCCGAGTCGATCTAACCATGTCCGTCTGTCCGGATGAACGCTGAGATCTCGGAAACTATATGAGCTAGGCTATTGGAATATGGCATGCAGATTCCTGAGCTTATTACGCAGCGCAAGTTTGCTTAAGCAGCGTGCCACGCCCACTCTAACGCCCACAAACCGCCCAAAACTATGGCTCCTACAGTTTTGAAGCTAGAATTAAAATTAAAATTTAAACTGAAATGAATTGTTCCCATCAATACCTGAAAAAAAGTTTGCCACGCCTACTTTAACGCACACAAACCGCCCGAAAACTCCAAAGAAACGTAAATATGAACGCGGATATCTCGGAAAAAATCAAAAATAGAGAATTGGGATTTCAGTTTCAGTTCAAGTTTGTCACGCGAATATGCCACGCCCACTCTAACGCCCATAACGCTTAAATCTGTCAATCGCCCATATATCCATGTATTGAGACCACGGGTAGGTGGCGCATTTCAATCTTGATTTGCTGCTTGCATATCTCCATTTCCCTTTTGTCCCTTTAGCTGAGTAATGGGTATCTCATAGTCGAGGTACTCGACTATAGCGTTCTTCCTTGTTTTATATTATATTAAACTCGTCGGAAAGTATGTAACATGCAGAAGGATGCGTTTTTACACCGTATAAAGTATATATATTCTTGATCAGGACCATTAGCCGAGTCGATATCCGTCTATCTGTCTGTCCCTATGAACGCTGTTATATCGAACATTGTAGAAGCTGGCCAGTTCGGACAGCAGATTCCTGAGATCCCTGCGCAGCGCAAGTTTATTTCAGCGGGATGTCAACTTTGCGACGCCCACTCCAACAACCACAAACGTCCTTATTAAGAAGTTAAGGGAAGCAATGACGTCAGTGCCAGCCAATGACTTAGGTATATATATAACTCTATAACTATATAAATCTTTCAAACAAACCTATTCGACCCAATATTTTATTAAAGAACTAATATAAACGTTTAGATTTAGTTTAGGCGCAGAAAAATCAGAGCCAAAAACGCTGCCAGCGGCTAACTTATTGTACTAAATAATGAATAATTTAAAGTATTCGCCTTTTTGTCTCTCGTTCTCTCTCCCTAGTAAACTTAATACCAATTTAGTTTATCTAATTCCGATTATGTTAATGTAAAATTTAAATTGCTGAAACAGAATGTAAGGGGTGCGGGAGGGGGACTTCTCGCTCTTTGCATTTTTTCTTTGCACACTGAACTGCAGGGCATTCACATACGTTAAAAAAAAAACGAAAGATCGTTTACCCAGTCTACAAAGGGCTTGTCGGCCATGTTTTCTCATAAGTGCACAACTAACTTTCGTATGGCAAAGTTTTTGCCCGAGCGCCTAATACGATATTTTGCGAATTTTCCCAGTGTCTTTTAATTTTAAAGCAGTCATCTTAACGTAAATTAAGTTTAATAAATTTTCAATTTAAAAGCTGAGTAACAATATCTGATAGTCGAAACACTCGACAGTAGCATTCTTTCTTGTTTTAAAATGTTTTTGTCATTATTTTTCCGATCGTTCAGGGACATAAGATGCTATTCGACTTACATACTACCTGCATTGAATCGATTCTTGGGAAGGTTTCATCCAGATTGCTTTAAGACTGAGAAAATAGTTCGCGTAGAATCGGACAGACGGACGGACATGGCTACATAAACTACACTAAAAAAAAATCTCCATAAATATTAGAAAATCGCCCGTGATTTTAAAACGCCTGGAATTAAGAAATATTTTTTTGATTACAGAAAAAATTTCTAAAATTTACGGAATTTGTAAAAAAAAAATTGTTGTAAAAAAGCAGAGGAAGAATCGCATTTTTTTCTTTAACTAATGGCGGATTTTTCTTAATTTATTTTCTTGAAATAATGGTAAATTCTTACTTAAATTTAGGAAGGAAATACCCATATTTTAAGGGAAAGTGACTTTTTGTTATACATTTTGATGGTGGTCTAGCTGGTAAAGACGTCCGGTCAATAAACAATCGTACAAAAGTACTTGGTTCAAGCCCACGCCACGGCAAGTGTACCATTTGTTTATTTATTTTTCTTTTTTTTAAATTTATTTAATTTTTATTCTTATCAGTTTAACTTTTCTTTTTACCAAATTGTTTAAACGGTTGTTTAAAAGGTTTAGATTAGAATAAACGTTATTGGTATGCGTAAAGCAAGACCAAAAACACCATAGCCCTCTTTAGTCATTGTATGATAAGAAGCACGCGTGGCCGAATGGTTAAGACGTCTGGCTATGGTGTGAGCAGTTGCGGGTTCGAGTTCACGCCGCACAGTGGTCCAGCCCGTATACCAAAAATAAAAAAACCAAAGTTTAAATTTTTACTTTAAAGGTACCAATTCTTATTTATAATTGGTCTAGCTATTTGAATTTATTCATCTTTTTGTTTTGCTCTGTCTGTCCGCTTCAAGAATAGCATCGAAAGAGATAGCATGATATTCATTGTGTATTGCAGCGTAAGCAACGTGCTAGGGAAGCTCTCCGCAAAACATTTAAACATTCATTTGTCGAATTGTTACTACACATATATGTAAATATTAAAGGGTAAGCATATATGTAAATTGAAAAAATTGATTTATTTTATGTTCGTTTTTGTTAATGAAATTTATAATTTCTGTCATTATTATTTTAAGGCGAAATAGTTTCCCGGCGAAAACTCGTTTCACACTGATTGTTCCTATGGCAGCTATAACCTATAGTATCCAGATTTTTACTGAAGTTTCCCAGATTATATACGAAAATTTCCAAAGTATTGTTGCATCAAAATAAAAAACCATAGTTTTTCATATAAAAACTGAATATCAGACCGATTGTTCATATGGCAGCTATATGATATAGTTGCCCGATCTGGCTGATTTTTACATATTATTTTAGGATAAATATAAAAAATTTGTGCACAGTTTCAAGTCCCTACCTCAACTAGAAGTATTTTTGGCCGCTCTCCCCATACAAGCCGGACCACTGTGCACTGTGCTCCGGGGTTGTCTGAGGTAAGTATTTATAAAAAAAAAATCTTGAATAAATTCAGGTAAATATAAAAATTTATAGACTATATTGGTATACAAAACTAACCAATTTCCTCAAATGTAAAAAAAGATAATCTTACATTATAAACTATGTTGTACACGTCACTCTGCTAACTAATTTAAATTTTAAGCTGACCGTCCGATTGACATACCAAAGCATATATACAAATGCAATACAATAAAATGTAGGGGAGTGTAGGGTGAGTGTATAGTGACGAAAGATTCGTTTTTTTAAAGTATCTTTTAAAAAAAATTAATATTTTTTTAAAGTTTAAAAGCTGAAAGTTACTGACATCTAATAATGTTCTAATGATGATCTAATCATATTCCTGTAAAAGTAAAACGGTAATTCCAGTAAAATGTACAATAATGGAATACAAATTAACAAAAAATAATTGTTTTTTTGGTTACCTGCTGTAGAAAAAAAAGCATACCCTACAAGACGTTTGTCAGGACACCCTACAAGGTATTGTTGGAGACATGGTGGTGCCATCATAAGGCGCAAAAGAAAAATCACAAAGTCAAGAACTGTTGCTAAAGATTTTATTAATACTTGTCTATATTTATCTGGGCCAGATCTTAAAGCTGCCCTTTTAAAATCGCTTATTCTTTTAAAAATGAATGCAGGCAGAGACATGAGAAACAACATTACTTTTAGTAGACAAAATAAACGAAGTGGATCTCCTGATTATTGACGATTTCTTAACAATTTTGCTATTATACAGCTTGCCAAAAGAATAAGATCAGTTTCGTACCGATATCGAGACTCAGGAAAGCTTAATATCATCGGAGGCACTTAAAATAAAGTGATTGGAGTACGACGCAAGGAACAGAAATCAAATAGAGTCCGTTACCCGGTGCATTATTGTTGCATAAAAAACACAATCGCAGCAAACAATAATCAAAAGTTTAAGTTTAAATGCTACTGCTTTGGTAAAGCATGTACGTCAACATATACTATACAAACAGTGACTGCAGTAACTGGTGCCTAGACTATGGAGCACCATCTCAAATGTGCTCACAGCCAAATCTGTTCGAAAACCTGGGGCCTGCAAAAGACTCGAAGCTCAAACAGGCTAATATTGAGGTAACAGAAATAAAAGGTTACGGATCCGTGCAGTTCTCCCCAACCCATACCTGATTTAAGAACCAATCTCTATCGGTTTCAAAAATATGTGATCACGTCTTCAACGTGATTTTCAAGAAGGAGA